CCGAAGAGTGTCTGTTGGGCCTAGAAAGCATTGCTACAAATTTCCCATGAAATCAGCTATGTGCATACAGGCATATCAGCGATTCCCCGATACAGCGCTATCTTTATGTTCCACAGCTCCTCGCCAACTTGTAATTGGAAGGGGGATTCGTGAAGGTCATGCAGTTCTGATTCCAACCTAGGTTAAGCCCATGTATTCACAATGATTCTCATGTAGCCTCGAACCCAAAAGCTACCTGAGAAATAATGTCTCAACCATTCTGTCAGACGGCTTCAGGCGGTTGTATATCACACCGGATAAGATCGAGTTGTAAAAATCATTTGCCTCAGCCTGAGGCAAACCTTCAACGCGTATGTACAAAGGCCAAACTTCACGCCTGTAGTACGCATGTATACGCATGCGCTGAAGTAGTGGTGGCGATACCAAAAAACGAACTTCGAAAGTCTTCTAGGACGAAAACCATCGGTGGACAGTGAGAGGAGGATCTTCAGTTCTTTTCTTGCGAACTCGTTCGAATTCTCGATGTTCTCGTAATATCCTTCGTAGAGCCGGATATCTCCGCGGTCCTCGTCGTCGTGTGTAATCTCAAAAGAAAAGGAATACGCTGATGATGCTTTGAAGAATGTTCTTTTTGTACCCGCTCTCCCGCTCTCTGCGCGTGTAAGCTTTGATGCATTTCGATAATATTTGCAACATTACAAATCAAAATATCGCGTAGTTGCGGGATCATGTCCATCACATGTATTTCAATTCGTTGCATCTTCTTTGCCCTTTTGATAGGCATGCTGAAACTTCCAGTGATAGAGCAAAACTAGACACCATCTGATGTACTTGTAGAGGTTGCAGTCGACGTTTCTGCATAAGCTGTGTGGTCCATCCATTGCTTCTTCGCACGTGCTACAAAAGTAGTAGCGACGAGTGTTGTATTCCTCCAAAGTGCTATCAAGAAACGGCTTCACATCTCTTTCGTACTAAATGATATATCTTCTATATTGTTGTACTAAGCTGCAAACTTCAAACCGATAATAGTGAGCTGCTTGTTCCCGAAATAATAGTCACTAGTAGTTCCAGGTCCTTGATTTCCTCTTTAGAGAGGCCACGACGTTGAACGTACGTGGCATAATGAAGTATTCGTTCTCTCATACCTGCAGCTAGGAAGCTTTACGCATGCATGTGAAAATCTAGTACGGATGCTCTCTAAGAACCTACTCATTCTTGCACTTTGCTGCTGTGGTGGCTCATCATTCTCGTAATGATTGCCTTCACCAGTCCAACTTTCTTCCAATTCAACGTAATCGTGTGGCTGAGAGTTCAGGACTGGTGAAGACGCGACTTAAATATAATTGAAAGCATGCTATCAATCATTCATGTTCTAAGCATGCACAAGCAAAACCTCTCTCTGCTTCTTGTCGACCATTTCCATTTGTCCTCGCAGCGCTAAGCCTTGCGGCATGCCTTCTATTCCACCGTAGCTGGTATAGTTCTTCCTCAATCGAAGCTAAATACTTGTTTGGCTTAGGTGAATAT